CCCCAAAACCCCAAAACCCCAAAACCCCATAAAGATATAAATCATAAAAAACTAATGAATAATTGAATTATTAAATTATGATTGCTCTTCAAAACTCCATTATTGGCTATTCATCTTCCTTTTTATTGATTAGTTGCTCTCTGCAAAGACTACAACCTAACGCAAACTCATTTCCATTTGGTGGATGATCAATCTTCAAGGCACAAGTGTCCTTGCCTTTACACTAATCCAAATCCTTTTCAGTTTTATTACGCATTTCCCAAGCCTTTCTATGACAAGGATCACAGAAATGATGGGTTCCAAAGCAGAAGAAGAGTGCTAAGGAGCAGCAAAATCTACATTTATAATCAATAAAGGCATCTGCATGCTTTTAGCAATTTGTATTTCCTATATCAGCTGCCTTGTAAATGTTGCTTACGCATTTCGGACAAATCAGCTGTTCGGCTTTGTGTTAGAGTTATTCTTTCATCTCTTCTTCTTCAGGTCTTAAAATTTCCTCCTTTGCCTCCTCAGCATTATTATTGTCTTATTATTATTACGCTTAAGCACCTGCTCCTCCACACTGTCTGTGTCCTCCAAAATAGGGATCTTTACACTCAAAGCATTCATAATAATTTAAGTGATCGAATGCGAATCTCTCAAGATTATTAAAGTATTCACTATTTGGATCTTTTAGTCTCTCATCAAGATCTAATCCTTCATGTTTTGCTCTCAAGACACTCTTTTCTAAAATCTTTATCTCCACATCCTAAGCTTTTTAGACCATCTCCTCCAGCCAAGGATGGCCTGGAGCTGTTATCCATTGATTGCATTAGGGACATGAGGCATATTTAAGACTGATTGCAAGCCCATCCCATCTTTTGACTAATCTTGTTCTGATACAATCCATGTGGAAAATATGTTTACACCCTAATTAAATTGAAGGCTTCTCCCCAAGACCCTACACATAGCAAATTGAACAATATGAATCAGCATTTTCACCAAGTGTTATTGTTTCATCTTTGGCAACGCATTGATCATTTAAACAAGGGGCACATTTTTATTCATTGACATATCCATAGCAAGCATGACCGCATTCCAAGAATTTTCGGCAGCATCCAACAGCTGTTTTCTTGCACTATGCTTTACTACATATGTTAGATCGATCAGTTTTTAATGCTACTCCACAGAATCTACACTTCTTTGCTTTTGAGTCTTTTTCATATTAAGCACAGTTTTTACCAATGTGATAGGGTTCAACTTTGCATGAGGTGCAGAAATTAATACCGCATTCATTGCATCTTACTCTGTAGGTAGCCATATGCTTGGCTGCTGATTTTGATAATCTTTTTCCATCATCTTATTTTAATTAGTAAGCAGTACCCTAAATCAACTCAATGATGTTTCCACATTTACATCTTACCATGTTCTCTTCATTTTCTAAGGCTTTTGCTGTAATCTTCACTTAGAGTTCTTCAAATTCTTTTTCACCAAGAATTTATTTGACTTCGAATTCTTAAATTTTAGCTTCACAATCTTGGTAAGGGCATTATACATCGGGGTATTCATCTTTTATAGCTTATGACAAGCAGCTTTTGCAGATCAAATGGCAGCAAGTGTCAAGATATATAACTTCCTCTAGCTAATCATCTTTGAAGATATTTTGACATACTAGGCATTTAAATCCCATATCTTCTGCTTTCTTTTATTGGAACTCTTCCAGGCTCTATTTAATTTCAGGAATCTTTTCTTCCTCCATAGCTAGGTCTATGATTTAAGCTACTCTTACAGGTTCTATGGCTTACTTCGAATGCCCATTTTATTAAAGTTTCAACATCTAGAGTGACTATTATTAGCTATCATTATTATTAGAATTTCCATTTAGCTTTCTTCTCTTTATTTCCCTAACCATTTATATCCCATCCATAAATTTCCCTCTAAAGTGCTCATACATAGCTCTTAAATTCCTCCACTCATCCAGACTATCATTCTCTATTGCCTTATCAACTAACTTCTTCCACAGCTCATAAAGTCTTCCATATCTTTCTCCCATCTGTTTGCAATCTGAGGAATGCAGTGAAAGCTCCTTCAGTTCTGATATCTCCATTCCACATGGGCAACTAAACTTCACTAGATTTTAAATATTCACTCGATCGTCATCAGCTTATCTTGTTCTTTTTAAGCTCAGGCGAGGATTCTCTTCTTTTGTGTTAAGACTTACTGGTCCTTTAGAAATATACGTGTTTATTTATTCAAAAGACTCTTGAAAACTTGGGTTCATTTTTTGTTAATGTCTAAGTAAGTTTTATTGGTATTTTTTTATCCGATCGGATTAATAATTATATTTGTGCATATTCAATCAGAAACAAATTACTTATCTTGTATCTTCGGGGTTTTGGGGTTTTGGGGAGATCGGAAGAGCGTCGTGTAGGG